ATATACTGATTGTAAATTTAAATCAAAATTCAGTACATAAAAAAAGAAAAGCATAAACTAATTAGTTCAGTGGGTTGATTACATGAATTTTCACTATTTTTTTTCAATTTCACTATCCTCAATTTTCTTGAGTTCATCCAAAAATAAGTAAATTTAATTTTTTTGACATATTACTTTAATTTTCCCTCAAATAAATAGTAATAGAGATATAAAATATATAACAAATACCGTGTGTGAGTTTCAAAATTTCTTTATTAAAACAAAAAAAAAATTACACTAAGAATTAACAAGCAAAAAGGAAAATGCAAGTAAGAAAGAAAAAGTAAAAGAAAAGAAAAAGTAAGGAAATAAGTACATATGAGTCCCACAGTATACATGTGGCAGCCAAATGAGTCCTCACACAACTGACAGTATGTGTGGCTCGCCCAGAATAATATTTTTCTAACCAATAATGTACTTATTTCCCACTTTATGTGTGAAAAGATACAGGGCAAAAACGTTAAAAGGAATAGAGAGAAAGAGGAAATTTTTTATCCTGGAGGTGCAAGTATTGTCAGTTGTGTGAGGGGTTGTTTGGCTGCCAAGTGTATGTTATGGGACCACATGTCACTTTCTTTCATTTCCTTTTCGAGAAAATGGTCAAATACACCCTCAACCTATAACCGAATTCTCAACTACACACTTATATTTTACAGGGGTCCTATTACCTCCTTGAACTATTTTAAAGTGGTATAAATGCACCCTTAAGTGCTGACATGGCACAGAGAGTGTGTTCACTCTCTTGAAGGCATGTGAAAGTTGAAAAAACTGATAAAATATATTTAAAAATATTTATGACTTTTTTTTAAATATTTTTTTTTTACTTTTGTCTTTTATTTAATTTTCTCTACTTCCCCCCCCCCCCCCCCCCCCCCCCCCCCCTCCCCCCCCCCCCCCCCCCCCCCCCCCCCCCCCCCCCCCCCCCCCCCCCCCCCCCCCCCCCCCCCCCCCCCCCCCCCCCCCCCCCCCCCCCCCCCCCCCCCCCCCCCCCCCCCCCCCCCCCCCCCCCCCCCCCCCCCCCCCCCCCCCCCCCCCCCCCCCCCCCCCCCCCCCCCCCCCCCCCCCCCCCCCCCCCCCCCCCCCCCCCCCCCCCCCCCCCCCCCCCCCCCCCCCCCCCCCCCCCCCCCCCCCCCCCCCCCCCCCCCAAACTTGAGCAACAACCACCAGTCGATTATGCTCAACCCTGATAATCCAAATTATTTCCTCAAGTTCAAAAGGCATAAATCCTTCACTATTTAAAGAAGGAATCAAAAGGTCGTAGTCGTACTCAAGTCCAAGACGATTAGCAAGAACTTCGAACTTGAAATTGGTGCCAAGATTGCAGAATTTGGGTGGAAGAGGTAAAGGGGTTGGTCTAAATGACTTGATAAAATTGTTGTTGTGATGGTGATGTTGTTGATAAATATTGTTGATTTCTTTTACCCGAAAAAGAGATGATAAGTGTTGATATGGATCTTGGATTGAGATCTCATTTGGGGTTATGGAAGACGAGGGTGAGGGTTGGGGGTGGGGTGACTAAGGAGAAATGGGGTGGAGGGAAATAAGGTTTAGGGGAGTTTACAGTGAAAAGAATTAAAAACATGTCTCAACAATATGGAGAAGAGAAGAGTAAAGATGATGTTGGCAATGAAGAAGAAGAACAACATTTACTTTAAAAAAAATAAATATATATGGCATTTGACAGTTGTAGCGCGTGTGCACACCACATTCGAAGAATGTGGTTCTCTAGTTTTAGGGTGGTATATATTTCGCTTTAAATTAGTCCAAGGGGGTAATAGGACTCTCATAAAATTTAAGTGTGTAGTTGAGAATTTGGTTATAGATTGAAGGGGAATTTGGCCATTTTCTCTTTCCTTTTCTCATCTATTTTTAACCTTCTTTCTTTTTATACTTTTTCTTTCTTTCTTCAAAACACTTTTTTACATTTTTTTCTACTACTTGTTAACTCTTAACATAATTTTATTTTATTTTTGTATGGTGTTTTTTTATTATTATTTGAAATTCGGTATATGAATTAAAACGCGACAATTTAAAAGTTGTATTGTGTAGACTTTGTTCGAAGTGATATACCGATCAAAAACTCTAGTTAATCGAGAAATAACATCATCTTTTGCGCAATCATTTGTTTGAGGAAAAACCAAAGTTGGTGTGTCGAAAAATTTAAATTTAATTTTTTGAAAAAGTTTTAAGGAATTGAAGAAAGTGAAACTACAAAAAAAATAGTATTTTAAAATCTCGTGTCTTAATTTCATAAAATGTTTTAAAAATATATATATTTTATAAATGATATATAGAAAATATGAGAACTTAGATTATATTTTTTTTATTTGTGTGTTCGCTTATAGAAGATCATACATTGATTTATTATAATAAAAAATTTCACTCTATTATTTACTATTAAATTGTCCGTAAACAATTCACCACTTTGATTCACATGAACTATATAAATACATATTTAAAAATAATAATAAAAAGATTATGATAGATATTAATTTTCTGGACTCTTGATTCATATTCATGTGATTGTCTTTATAATAATCAAATTCTTTTGTATTTATTTTTTAATTTGATTTATATTTTTATTTTGATAATGTCAGAAGTGCATTTTATGTTATTTTTTTTGTATTTGTCAATTAATTATTATTTTTATATAATCATATTTTCTATTAAAAATGACAACCAAATAGCCCAAAAACATAACAAAAATTACGTCACTAAATTTTAAATCTTCTCTCTTAGATTTAAATGAACATTTAATATATATAGACCTCACTATTTACTTTTGAATTTTTTTTCAGCCTTTATTTTAAGAATGGGCCCATAATCCACGTGTCAAAAAATGGGTGGAGTTTCACCCAACTTTGGTTGGTTGGGCCTCTACCATGATAAAAATTTTCGAGAAAGAGGAGTGTCCCCTTTTTCTGAAAGGGATCCACTTGGCAAAATATAAATGGACCTCATACAACTCTTGTCTGCCACATTATACTTGTGCCTCGCCCAGAATAAAATTTTTCCACCAACTTTGCATATTTTTCTCAAAATATACTTCACACATAAAAAACATTATTCTCTCTCCTATTGAGATGCCATGTCACATTATTCATTTTTTTTTATTAAAAAAATTAACTTTTTAAAATAACTCAAATGTTATATTCAGTAAAATAAAATAAAATAAAAATTCTTGATTATTTATCATTTTTAGTTTTTTACTTTAGCATATTAAGAGATAGACATTTTTTATTCTATTATTACATTTAACATTAATTATTTTTCTAAAATCATTTCTCAATTCATTCATTCATTAATTTCTTAAAGTATATGTAAAGTGCACACTTTTAATGGAATGTCGTATAATATTATTCTTTTTTTTAATACTATTTTTTTTAAATTAGGAAATTTAGTTTCTACTCCTTCAGTTATTTACATCTTTACTTGTTCAGTACTAATTTGACATATCTTTTAATGAATAATAAAGATAATTTTACTATATCAATCTTTGAAAATAATAAATTTATATTTTAAAAATTGGCAAATGACTATAATTAATAATAACACTAAATTAGGAATTAAATAATAAATTATCACTTGTAACAAATGAATAATTATTTATAATGTAATGAATAAATAAAAGTGGACAAAGGAAATAGTTGCTAGAAAAGAAATCCATAAAAAAAGTTACTCGATATAATACTTTTAATTTTTTATGAGTACGTAAAAATTGTTCTCTGACATCACTATTTTTTTCTTTTTTCTTCGTTCACTTTTACTCTCAAATCTGCTTTCTTTTTATTTCTAACAAATGTAACTTGCTAGAAATAGCAACATGTACAATTACAAAGCACTTAAATAGTCTGCAAAACTAGGCAAATATGGCCGGCGGCGTAGGGGTTTAAATTTTGTCCAGCATTAGCGTAAATTACTAGTTTTGTCCTTTACTTATTAACAATCTTAAAAATAGTTTTCTATGACAAATTAAACTTAGATATACATCCTATCTACCACATGACATAATAAGTGGTCTCAAATCCTTGTAAGAGCATGCAATTTTTAATAAAAATTTGAGAGAAGTGTTGAAAATACTCCGAAACTTGACAAGAATTTTGGAGGTGTATTTAATTAATATTGCAAGATCAGAGATGTATTTAATTCAGTTAGTTAAATAAAGAGATGTTTTTAAGAATATCAATAGTTTAGACATGAAACTAATAATTAGTGTCGAATTTAGAATATTTTCAACACTTCTCACTTTGTTTTAAGACTTTTAGCTTTTGTGTCTTTATTCATTTTTTTTGGAAATTGATTCCTCGCCTTTTGTCTCATGTTTGTTTAAGATTTAATTTTATGTATACAACGGAATAGGAGATTCTTTCTTTCTTAAAACTTAAAATTTAGTCTCTTTGATACTATGTTAGGCTTGATGTGATAACTGTTTAATAATGGAACTGAAAATATATGTGGGCTGTTGATAGCTATTTTGTTTTTTCACACTAACTCACAAGTTGGAACAAACTCTTATTTGATTGATGTATTTATATAAATAAATTGAAATGACGAATAACTAGATCAAAATCTAAAGTCGAGAAAATCAACATACTTGCCCTATTTGGGATAGTGTAAATAGCAATATGTATGTATTAGTAGAAATCACTAATTCTTCAACATTGTGCTTGTAGATAATATTTTCAACGAATTTTCCATCAAAAATCTCTTTACTAACAAGCAAAATTGTTAGGGAATGTCCCAACGATAAAATTAGCAATTTTGTGATAGTAACTTTTATGTTCAAAGCGTGATGACATCCAAATCCCAGATGCACTTGGGAATTAGTTATATAGATACCAAAAAAATAAAAAAGATACAAAAATATCATATCTGCTCTAATGCTGCAGAAGAGTACACACAGAGATCTCCTGGTAGGAGAGCATTATTTATTTAACAAGAAAGTATACTTGTAAAAGGTGTTACATAGCAGAAACCGAAGAAGACTTCACGTAGTTTGCAGTATCGTGTACAAGCTTGCCATTGACAGCTGCGATTTCCCGAGAATAGGTGCTAGCTTCACCATTATATGAATAACTCTGTTCAGTCGTTGCTCCACTTTGTAGAACAATGCGATCTTGAACAGACATACACCCTTTGCATTTTTGTCTATTTTTCAAACTGCTTGAACAAGAATGTGAATCTCTGTCACTCCACTTCTTCTCCTCATTCCATTCATTTTCTAATTCAGAATGCATAATGATTGTACCATCTTCTCTTGATGGCTTCGAAGTCTTAGTGGTTATAGTTAGAGGATATTCCCTCTTCATAGTTGTATGAGAAATCTTCATACCTGTTTCAGAGACTACACTTATTTCAATCTCTTCTTCCACTTTCTGCTCTACTTTTTTTTCAGTTCCCTTGTTATCAAACTTTATCTCATTCTTGAACTTGAGTTCTCGTGAAACTGTAGTTGTCAAATTGCCTGCTGATGAATTCACCCACCCGTGATACTGGCTCTTCCTCTTCAACTCAACTTCATATGATCCATCCAGACCCTTAAAGCTTGAAGACCGCTCCATCTCGTAATCAGGAGTTCCATAGTCAACAACTTCACCCTGCACTTCACAATCACTTGTGCATTGTTTATCTACCCAAATGTGCAAATTTGCATCCACAAGCCAGAAAGGGAGACTATCCAGCACCTTAAACCCCATAAAATGGGATTTACCGTCAAGTAAATCCCCCAAAAATGGAGTTATATCGATGTCGTAAGAAGGATGATCAAAAGCCCCAATTGAAACAATTGGATCCCAGTAAAGGGGATTAATTCCACCTGGGTAAATTACAGGAAATGGAACCACAGATCCTACCAAGTTCCTGTCGATATTCAACAAAACTTCCCTGTACGATCCATGGCCTCTCTGGCTAGTCAAACTATTTTCCCTTATGTAAGAATCAGGGGGATTTGAGTACCAAAACTCATCCAAGCCATGGAATGATACGCAAATTTCCATGACAGCTTTGTAGGTGTTCTTCGGTATGATAACACTCTTCCCCTTCAATTCCGAATCGCTTTGAATTCTGAACCAAAATCCTTCACCTCCATTATTACCCGAAATCGGAATAATCAAATCTGCTGGTTTTTCATTCAAACCCAACGAACCTCTTATAGGATTATCCACAAACACATCATCTACCATTCTGACTTTCCGATTAGTACTAATAGTTGATAACGGAACATTCATTTCCTCAATATAATAGTATAAGATAGTAACATTAACATAATAAACACCTGTATAAACATCGTTGACCATATTTTCCAGCATAACAGAAAGAGAAATATCCTCTTTAGCAAGGAGCGACGAGTACCTGGTAACATCCTTAGTAACAGTCCAGAAAACGCCGCTTTCAGTAGGCTCCGCGGTGCTGGTACGGAAGATATCGGCACCGTCAAGCCAAACGGCGGCGATACGGTCATACTGTATTCCATTGGAAGAGGCGTTGAATTGAAGAGCTACATGGTTCCAAGAGCAATTGTCCGGCGGCGCGTAAGCGACGGAGACAGGTGGAAGACCGATAGTATCTCCGAAGTGATGAGAGAGAATGGGAAGAGTGCAGGAAGGAGTGAGATTAGCGAAGGGCAATGGACGACTTATTTCTAAGTATTTTTGTTGAATAACACCATGTTTGATGAAGTGAGAAGGGTTTTCAAGGGAAGAACAAATTGGAGCATTAATAAAGCTGATTAGTATTATTATGAGGAAGAAGAATATGAGATTTGCCATGATTTAGATTGAAGAGAATTAATCAATTATGAAAATTGAAATTCCATTTTCACTTTATAACATAAGTACTGAAAGAGACCAAGTTTGAACAAGATAAGTCGATAGAATCGAGGATAGTTAAAAGCTAAATCGAAGCCGTCCACTTAAATTTTGAGCCTTCGATTAAGGTAAAACAATTACTCCCTCCGTCCCATTTTATATGATGTACTTTGATTTGGCACAAACTTTAAGAAAAATGGAAAGACTTTTAAAACTTGTGGTCCAAAATGAATGATAGAAATTTGTGTGGTTGTAAATCATTTCATTAAGGGTAAAAAAGACATTTTATAGGCAAATTGTTGCTTAAAATAGAAATGTGTCATTCTTTTTGGAACAGACTAAAAAGGAAAGTGAGTCATATAAATTGGGACAGAGGGAGTAATTATTTATTCTCCGAATCATTTATCAAATCTTAAGACTAATTAAACATCAATTAATATGTATTGCCAACTTTAAGAAAAATGGAAAGACTTTTAAAACTTGTGGTCCAAAATGAATGATAGAAATTTGTGTGGTTGTAAATCATTTCATTAAGGGTAAAAAAGACATTTTATAGGCAAATTGTTGCTTAAAATAGAAATGTGTCATTCTTTTTGGGACTGACTAAAAAGGAAAGTAAGTCATATAAATTGGGACAGAGGGAGTACAATTTACACCTGCCAATTGCCAAGTATATGACTGATCTCAGCATTCAGTCGGTTATTTTAAATATTAATCATACGAATTATTTTATTATTTTACTTGCATGACCAAGGTGTGTTTGGTACGGAGAAAAATTGTAATACTCCCTCCGATTTTATTTAATTATTGCTGTAATATGTCATAAATATAATAAATTACCGTTGAAGATGAAATGACAAAAATGAATAAAAAAGTATTCAGACTAGGTGCAGATATTTCGCTCTCTTTCAAGAAATTCAAGCTCACTGCGATATTATCTACAAACACTTGTCAAATTTTGACTTGACGCACTTATTAAGAAAAATAATAATCAGTATAGTGAGCGCCATTTTATCTATATTAAAGGCATTAACTCAATGTTAATAAATTGAGGGTATAATAGGAATTTTTTTTATCTTTTCTTAATATGTCAAAAATGACAAGCAAAAGAAGAAATCAAATTAGAAAATATTTGACAACTAAATAGGGACAGATGAAGTAATTACCTCTGTTATTTATTGTTTTTAAGATGTGTGCCAAATCATTACAGATACAATATTTTTTAAAAATAATTAATACATTCTTAAACTTTGAAAAAATTATTTATTTTAAACTATAAAAAAAATATCAAAATTTTTATTTACATTGGACCAGAAGAGTAACACAGTACAGTACAAAGGGCAACATGAATTATGACTTTTTTTTGAGAAAAAAATATGTACTCTTTCTGTTTCAGAACATTTTGAGATGAAAGAAGACAAATATATACTTTGAAAAGTGAGAATAATTCAAAAATATCAGTGTAGTGAAGTAGTTGGGTACCATGACCATTTTTAATATTCTATTTATGAACGTACGGCTCTAGTAAGGACCACAATCATAATTGTTTACACATTATAATCTTTGATCATTTGTCCATCGACAAAAACTGCCATATTCAAATTTTTTTTTTAAAAATATGGCCAAGTATTTAATGCCAAAACACGTAAAATATTGAATGCTGACAGGTATTATTGTTTAAAATTTGTTTGTTTACTTAATTACTTAATTAAAAAAAATAATGAATTTTTTTGAATATATGATTTTAAATTAAAAATATAGTAAATATATCAAAATATCTTACATTTTAATAATATTAAACATATAAAAGATAAGTATTAAAAATGTACTTAACTTGTCGCAAATTATTAATTTTGTCTGAAAGCCTTAAAAACATCCTTTACAAACTTAAATACACTTTTGCCACATATCTAACAACTGGTTTAAATTCTTGTAGGAACATGGATTCTTAATAAAAATCAAGAGAAACGTTAAATTAAAACACCGCTAAACTTAGCGAAAATTTAAAAATATATTTTCGTCGGGTAGTAAGATTGAAGTATTTAAGTTTAATTAGTTAAGTAAAAATGTATTTTTTAAGATTGTTAATAATTTTAAAATAAAATTAATAATTTATTCGGAAATTAAAAGAGATTTTTGACAATTTTTGTAACTCGTTTTTGTTAGTCAACACTACACATGGGATCCCAGCTTTATGCGCTCACTCCTTTAAATGCATCTAAATCACCAAAGTTGAAAAAATGAAAATTTTAAAAATGAGTGTATCTGCTCCTCCTCTCATGGCGGTTCTCATCTTCTTCTTCATCACCATCAGCTTTATTGCCCCATTTTCTTCTTCCTTACCTGAACACCATTTCCACTTTAACAAAAATGGTTTTCGCCACAACACTTCTTCACAGCCACAGCAATACATAGAAATCACTCGTCCATTGTCATTCACAAATCTCCCTCCTTCTTGTACTTTTCATATCCTTACTCATGATTTCGCCAATACGATGGGTCTCCCGCCGGTCTCCGCCTCTTACTCTCCTCCGGCCAATTGCTCCTGGACTCATGTGGCTCTTCAGTTCAATGTTTCTTCTAAAGGAGAGCAATACTATCGAATCGCCGCCGTTTGGCTTGATGGCGCCGAGCTCCTCCGTACCAGCACCGCTGAGCCTACCGATGACGGAATTTTCTGGACTGTAACGAAGGATGTTACCAGGTACTCCTCCATCCTGGTCAACGAGAATATATCTCTTTCTGTCATGATGGAAAATATGGTCAACGATGTTTATACCGGTGTTTATCAGGTTAATATTAGTTTCCTCTACTATAATGTTAAGAAAATGGATGTTTCGTTATCGAACAGTTATAATCGGAAAATGAAGCTGGAAAATGATTTGAAAAGTGAGATTGAAAACCCGGCAGATTTGATAATACCAATATCGGGAAATGGGAGTGAAGGATTTTGGTTTCGAATTCTGAATGAATCAGAGATGCATGGGCAGAGTGTTATTATTCCGAAGAATACATACAAAGCTGTGATTGAGATTTACGTATCATCACACGGTTATGATGAGTTTTGGTACACGAATCCGCCTGATTCATACATACAAATGAATAATTTAACTACCAAGAGAGGCCATGGATCCTACAGGGAAGTTTTGGTGAATATAGATAGGATTTTGGTTGGATCCGTAATTCCATTTCCTGTTATTTTCACTGGTGGAATTAATCCTATGTACTGGGAACCACTAGTTTCAATTGGGGCATTTGATCTTCCTTCGTATGACATTGATTTAACACCATATTTGGGGCTTTTACTCGACGGTCAAGCTCATTTTCTAGAGCTTGGGGTGAATGATAGTATCCCATTATGGCTTGTGGGTGCCAATTTGCACCTTTGGGTGGATAACAATTGTGTATTGCCTTGTGAAGTGCAGGCAAAAGTTATTGATTTTGGTACCCCTAAGTTCAAGATTGAGCGATCTTCGAGTTTTCTAGGCCTGGATGGATCATTTGAGGTTGAGATTAAGAGGAAGGGTGAGATTTCTTATTGGGTGAACTCAACTGCAGGAAATTTGACTACTATAATCAAGCGAGAATTGAAGTTCAAGAACGAAATGAACTTTTATCTAAACGGAACTGAGAAAAAGATTAAGCAAAAAGTGGAGGAAGAGATTGAAGTTAGGGTATTGTCTAATAGTGGTGGCACGATCTCTAAAACCAAAGTGAAGAGGAAATTTCCGCTTACTATAACATCTAAGACTATACCATCAATGGAGAATGATACAACCTTGAGGCTTTCTGATTTGGATCATGAATGGAAGGAGAAGAAGAAGTTGGATGGAGGTCCTTCAATCTCATTGAAAAATCGGCAGCAATGCAATGGATGGATGGTTGTTCAAGGTCACAATGTTTTACATGGTGGGGCAACTACTCAACAAACTTATTCTTACTCCGATGAAGCTGATTGCTATTCTCGAACCATTTCAGCTGCCAATGGCAAGCTTATGAATGACACTGCAAACATTCTTTGTGCAGCAGCTCCTTTGAAGTTTGGTTCATTTTCTGCTTTGTGACACCTTGTTTGAAGAATACGTTCTTGTCCTACGAGAGTATCCCGTGTGTAACACTACAGGAATTTCTTGCCTATGTGGTTTGCCTGTACAATTTATGTTTTTGTGTCAAAGGTGCAGGCTTCCATAAGGATGTCAAGTGTTCTAGCTAGGAAATGAACTTTGTTTTTGATAATTTGCTTGATGTAATTCTTTTTTCTTGTCTTTGTGTTTGATATGAACCTGAGTTTTGAGCCTTCATCTTGCAACTCTCTTTTCATAATGAACTTAGAATAATGGTATAAAACAAATACACCGCAGTCTCAAATAATTGGGATTGGTCATATGGATTTTCACTTCTTTATTTGAGGATCAACTCATGCCATCATACTAAATAAAATTTTAAGGGGAAAATTTCTTTAGTATAAAAATAATATTAAAAATTCTCTAACAAGAATAAGTTTGCTTTAAACAGTTGGTGGATTTATCAGTTGCTGTACCATTAGCATTCTGCGATGGCGCGAGTGGTTTTTTTTTCGGTTGCCAATATATATTGCACAAAGATCTAAAATTGCATCAAAAGTACTGTCTCAAATAATCGACAAGCTTTCGAAATTTTTTGTATTCATTTCAATACTTCCTTGAGGGGAAATGAATGAATGAATAGGATAGATTCAGAAGAAAATTTGCTATAACTTGTTGAGAACTATATATATGTCTACTTTTCTTTCTCTTCACTCATAAACTGGAGATATCACTGTAAAATATACAAAACTGCTTGGACTTTCATTCCCTTGCAACGTCTTTGGGGCGCCAAAAGTCTTTCTTACCAACAAGAAATTGATGTTGATGCAGAGTTACTGACCAATGAAGTGAACGTAGAATCGAGCCTAGTTGTTTAATCATCTGTATAGTGTCTTGAACTAAAATGTATCCACCTGGTCTCACCATTCTGTCCATCTCCACAGCGACATCCACTAGATCACATCTGCAGAAGAGAAAAAGATACTAAAAGTTCATCTCAAGAGACATGTGCAGATGCCTGTTAAAAGACTGACGATTCTTGTGAAAGAAAATTGAGCTAGAATTACTGCAAGCGCCATCTTGCGTAATTCAGATTAATAACAAATCAAACTAGTAATCAGGAAGTAAAGAATGAACCTTTGACTTAAATTTCCATAGAGGAAGCTGGAATGTAGAAGATCATATGTCCGAGGATAGGTATTGAAGGACTCGCACCAGTCATGGTACGTGCCAACCAAGCCCCTATCGAAGATAATAGGTAGAGTATCCGGTCCACTGATAGGAACAACATTCATTACCCACAGGGGTCGATCAATCAGTGCTGTAGCAAATCTGTTTTATAATAGGAGTATCGGTAAGACAAAGAGCAGAGAAAGGAAGCAAAAAGTAAAATTTTCTTACCCTCCATAGCCTGCATTCATGTCCATCACATTCCTCACACTTGACCAATTTATAGCAAGGCCTCCTAAGTATACATCTGATACCAATGATGCCCAGTGTCTTGTATCCTCGTTGAATGTCTCTTCAGCATCTGTTTCGAGCGATAGACTTAGAGGTTTCGTGTTGAGCCTCTGAGGCCAGGGTGCAGGCCACTTGTAGTTACTCGAGGCTAGTGGTAGAAGGCAGCTGTCCAGTGGTGTGTACCTACATATTGGATGTGAAAGTTATGATGATAAGAATGAAGATATAGATGATTATTGTCATCAAAGTGTTTCAAGCGTACCATGAACTATTCAGCCTATTCTTCTTCTGGTCACACATAGGGGGAATATTTTCCTTGCGATTCTCATAGCAGGAAGATGAATCTGATTTTTGATATATAACTAACCCGACTCTACCCCTTTTAAAGAAGGTCCTTGCCACCATCTTCCAGCACATTGCTTCAGTCAGATTAACCATAACTGCAAGAACAAGACCTAAAATTATGTGCTACCAAGCATAACAAATTACTCGCTTCCAAATTATATAGAAAGTGTTAGTAAATGTTAATTCATAGAACTAAGCATCGATGAGTTGGAACCTTTCCAGACATTCTTATGTCCTTCATCCTTCTTATAAACTGGCGTTGCAGACCATATGAAGTACCCTCCAGGCCTAAGAATCCTGTTGAGCTCCATCAATGGTTTTCCTCCTGCAGTTTTCAATTAGTTACCATATCAACAATGTAGCTGATAGAAGGACTAGAAATCTGAGAATAGTTACTCACCATCTGCATGCCAATGAACCCTGCATCTTGCACAATGAATCATATCATATACATTATCTGGAAATGCAAGCTTTTTAGTTGCAATGACTGAGAGAGTAGCCGGGATTCCACGCTCGAGGGCAAACTGTATCTGAGCCTCATGTTCATCCTTTGGAGCAAATGACATAGTAATGACATTTTTATCCAGCAAATAACCACCAAAGCTAGCAACACCACATCCAACATCTAAAAGGACCCTTATACTCTTTCCCCATTGAATTGTTGGAAAAGTCTGAATAAAACACAAGAAGGAACTCAGATTAAACAGATCATAAGAACATTACTACTGCAGCGATGTTTATCAATATCCAGCTGAACAAACTGTTCAATTGAAAAAAAAAAAACTGTCGAACTACTAAAATAATCCCATGATTTAGTCAGGTCATAGATCCCAACTAAGAGAATCAACGGAAAATATGATCTACCTATTCATCAGAATGTACACATTACAAATACTTTGATTAGGCATGGAATTATATTGGTTTGACACGTCTAGAAGTCCTCTCTTGAAAGCGTAAGATATCTCTTCCTTATATCCAATAAACATGAAATCAGAGGATCTACAGCAACACAGTTCAACAGAAACGGACATTGCGTTGCTTGGGGTGATTAAGGAAAAGAATGCTACAAATAGACATAGTACCTCTTCAATGAATTCGATGTAGTGATTCACTCCGTCCCTGAACTGTGTTCCACCACCAGGGAAAACAAAATAATCACCAGACTTTTTCACCCAATTTTGGTCTTTCTTATATTCCACAAGCTTAGGATGAGGAACATTGTCATACCATATCTATCCGGAAGAAAAAAAAAAAGAGAAGAAGATTAGGCATGGCTATTTCTATTACGAGCAGAACAAAATGGTATCATAAATTGAAAACAAAAATCTTACCACCAAAGAAGGGAGAATCTCACCATATCCCTACTCTTAGGCCACGGAAGGGGCAACTTATAACCTTTCGGCAATGGAATCAAACATCTGGGACTAGGAACAGGGCAATGCCTTTCCCTATGCTCCATATGCCTTCTCGATTTTATTTTTTTGATTGCCTTCCAGTTATCAAGGCATGGTATGTAATCAACCGCCAGTGGACCTGGGCATAGCTTCCAATGATAAGAGAACGTTTCCAACTCATCGCTGATGATCGTATCAGACTTCTCAGGGTTAATTGTAAGCGGAATGTTAGACGACTTAGGATCAATCCTGACATTATTCAACGGGGACTCATGATTGATACTAGTATTATTGTTTTCATCAGATTGGTGTAAATTAGTTGAAGTTGAAGTACTATTACTGTTAGGATTAAACTCCGGGACTGATTTGATTAGAGCGGTGCGTTGAGCAAAGTCCATGGCAGCGAAAATGGGTGATTTCTGGGAGTTAGAAATGAGGAGGAAAGTTACGAACATTAGTAAAAGGAATAAAGAGAAGATGAATGGATACTTGCGTTGTTTGAACATATCTTGCATTGACGATGATGCTGATGATATAGCCATTTGGGATTCAAATTTTATTTTGTTGTTGTTAGCTCTGAATGGAAAAAAAGAGTGAAAAATGCAAAGGTGTGTGTATACAGCGTAACTGATGGTCATGAATTGGGAAACTGTTGAGTTTGAAATGTGGTTAAGAGATTACAAGGATCTGGAGTGTAGTGGGGGCCACACAAAGGAGGGAAATCTGGTTAACTAATTTGGAATTATTGATTTCATTACAAGGCCAGTTTATGTAATTAGTATTAATTAATTAATTAATAATTAAATACTAAACAGAGCCGTGGATTTACACTTTACCCTACTCTCTTACTTTTATTTTGTTATTTCTTAATATCCGAGTTCCATTTAAATAAGTCTGTTATGTATGTACGTATTTAGGGAAAATTTTCATAAATATACACTAAAGTAATTTTGATTGCACCAAATATGACCAAATTTTCATTTTCATTTAAAAAGAAGAAGGGAAAACTACACAAATTGAATTCATTAGATAGTCTTACCCAAATTGGACCCAACTCAATATATTTACCCTAATTGGACTCACGATCCAAATTATTTACCTGACTGACCCCTTGTTCTATTCACTGAACCACAACAACTTTATCCTTGATGATGGTATCAAGCAGTAATTTGACAATATTTTCACTGAAACACCATATGTTCCTCCTTGATGCCATCAATATATATATATACACTCTAATGGTATCAAGGAGTAACTGGTTCATTTTTAGGCCTCCAAGATTGTTGAGACAACCTTGCTCTTTTGTTGACTCTGAGCCGTCAACAACCTACCTTGAATCTTACGGACCTGCTCCATGACATCTCTAATAAAGTTTGTATCTAATGAGTCCATCTTTGTTGTATAGAACCAACCGATTGGAGATCTACACTGCCTACCATATAACACCTCATTTGGGGTCATCTGAATATTAGAGTGATAACTGTTGTTGTAGGCAAACTTTGCTTAGGGAAAGTGTTGATCCCAACTAGCACCAAAGTCAATCACACATTCTCTAAGCATGTCCCCAACACCTGAATCGTCCACTTAGACTGTCCGTCCTTCTGAGAGTGAAATGTTGCACTCATGTCTAGTTGAGTACCCAAATCATGTTGTAAGGCCCTCCATAAATGAGAAGTGAATAATGAACCTCGATCAAGCACAATAAAAATAGGGACCCCATGCAGTCGAACTATCTACACTACCTCAAGTTTAGATCTCTTTGACTGAAGATGTAAGGAAGACTCTAATGATCGGTGAAGACCTCATAATGCACCCCATACAAATAGTGACACCATAACTTAACCACAAAGACCGTAGTCGCTAACCCCAAATCATAAGTAGGGTAGTTCTTTGCATGTGTCTTTAATTGCCTAAAAGCATAAGCAATCACCTTACCTTTCAACATCAAAACACCACCTAGACTTACTTCTAAAGCATCACAATAAATAGTAAAGTCCACACCTTCCATGGGTAGAGTCAACACAGGAGTCGAAGTTAGCAAAGTCTTGAGCTTTTGAAAGCTCTCGTCACACTCATAACCCCACACTCTATCTAGTCAATGTAGCTGCAATAGTGGAGAAACCCTGCACAAACCGTCTGTAATAGCCTACCAACCCCATAAACTTTGAATTTTGGTAGGAGAAATAGGTCTCGTCCAGCCCCTAACTGCCTCAATCTTGGTCGGATCCACTCTAATACCCTCCTTAGAGACCACATGTCCTGGGAATTCCACATAATTAAGCCAGATCTCACACTTTGAGAACTTTGCATACAACTTCTCTTTCCTCAACCTTTGAAGAGATATTCTCAAGTGTCGAACATGGTCCTCCTCAGTACTAGAGTACACCAAAATATCATCAATGAAGACAATCACAAAAAAATCAAAGTAAGATCGAAATACCCCGTTCATCAACTCTATGAACGTTGCAAGGGTGTTAGTTAACCCAAAGGACATCACTAGGAAATCATAATAGTCATACCGAGTCCATAAAGCTGTCTTAGGGACATCTAATGCCCTAATCTTCAACTTATGATAATTGAACCTCAAATCTATCTTAGAGAACAATGATGCTCCCTGTAGCTGATCAAATAAGTCATCAATATGTGGGAGAGTATAATTGTTCTTCACCGTTACCTTATTCAGCTGCCTATAGTCAATACACATCATTATAGTCTTATTCTGTTCTTCACAAATAAGACTGTGGCACCCCAATGTGACTTACTAGGACAAATAAACCCCTTACTCAACAAGTTTTGCAACTGATCCTTCAATTCCTTCAACTCAATTAGGGTCATATGATAGGGAGGAATAGAAATGAGATTGGTGCCCGACTCTAAATCAATAGAAAAATCAATATTTCTATATAGAGGAACACGTGGAAGATCAGTAGGGAAGGCAATTGGAAACTCCTAAATCATGGGAATGGTTTCCATGGGAGGTGAATTAACACTAGTGTCCCAAATTAAGGCTAGGTAAGACAAACACCCTCTCTCCACCAATCTCTGAACACGGAGGAAGGAAATGACCCTATTAGGATATGAGCCACTAGCACCCTTCCACTCAACCCTCGGAACACCATGCATCACTAAGGTCACAGTGTTAGCATTACAATAAAGAATAGCATGATAAAGAGGGAGTCAATCCATACCTAATATAACATCAAAGTTCAGCATCCCCAGAATAATCAAGTCTACCTAAGTGTCATACACCGCCAAAAAAGTAAGATATGATTGATACACTTGATCTACCACTAAGGGCTGACCCACGAGTGTAGAAATACGAATAGGCACAGACATTCTATCACACATCAAATCAAACCCACCAACAAAGTAGGCAGACACATAAGAGAATGTAGATCCTAGATCAAACAATACAAATGTGGATGGTAGACTAGGAAGATACTTGTAATAAATGGATTAGAAGCCTCTACCTTGGGCCTCCCAAAAAATGTATAGCACTGACCCTCTCTACCACCCCCAGCCTAGGTAGTACCTTTACCCCCACTCTGATATACTGTAGCACCACTACTAGAAACCCTACCACCTCTACCTAACTAAACTCTACCTCAACCTCTGGCTTGTGGTGTTGTTGATCTGATCTGGGCTAAAGGACTAGGTTGGAGCCCTCCTCGACCCCTATGCAAAGGACATTGTCGCATTATGTGTCGAGATCTCTACAACCAACACAAAAGCTCTAACTCGAGGACTGTTATGATGATCCTGAAGAACCACTAAAACTGCCTCACCCCGCAGATCACTGTTGTGAACCATATGAACCCTGAACTATACTTTAAGAACTGTGATGTGTTTGACAACTCTCGGATGTCGGCGTAGAAGCATGAACTGGTCCTCGATGTTGGAAAGAACCGCTACATCTATAGAGTCCCCTGTCTCCAAATGAGGCACCAAAAAACTGACTTGATGCATAATCCCTTTAATAGTCCCCAAACTTCTCTATATCCATCAAATCCACATATTTGGTGGTGCTCACAATGGACTGGAAGGAAGCCCCCTCTTGATATTCCCTAAATATAGTCGATTAGATAGAGAAAGTCAACCCCCTCATGAACTTATGGATCCTCTCAGTCTCGTTAGGAATAATGGAAAGAGTATGCATAGACATATGATAGAATCAAGTCTTATACTCAGTAACTATAAGGTTATCCTGCCTCAAACTCTCAAATATCAATCGACTCTCCTCTCTCACGCTTCAAGAGATGAAATGGTCATAAAATGCACTGACAAATATCTCCCAAGTCACTGGCAGAGATCCAACCGACAAGGAACTTGAATAAACTGTCCACCACTCTTTCGCTAGCCCACTAATTGGAGTGTAGCATACTGGACTCCATGCGACTCAACAAATCCCATAGTGTTTAGAAACTCTCTGCAAGTTGTCAAACACTCATGAACATCCTCTCTCTTTCCACCCTGAATTGGGGTGGATCCATCTTTCTGAACCTCTCATACCTATGCTGCTCATTCTTTGTCCGCACCACAAAGGGAGCACCCTAAACCCTAACTGTCGGTGCAGGGCCACCCTTAACTACTGGACCTACCAGTGGCTGCCCCATCGGATCCTGAACTATTGGAACCTTAATAAGGTATCCTGAAGGAATGGTGCAACGACATACTCTAGAGGAACTTGGTCCTCTTTAGCATCAACCTTTGGCTCGGGAAAGACCTATTTGTCAAGTCCTCTCACTAGTGCCACTCCACGGGCACGAACTCTGGTTAGTGCAACTCTACGGTCACGACCTCTAGCTCGGTCTCGACCCTACTCCTAGTTGGGGTCTCAATAACTGGCACGGGGAGTGCTTCCCTTTTACTACCACCATTAGAAGATCGAATCCTCGCTATCTGTCAAAAGAACACACAACAACTCAGTAGTAGTGAAGGTTACCACACATAATAAGAATGAATGAACAAAAAAAGTTTCCTAGCAGTCTTCATAAGATCTTGAAGATACATACAAACGTTTCCATACTGATCCTCGAAACTCTACTTAGACTTGGCTTGTATACATGTGATACCTATGAACCCGGGGATTTGATACCATTTGTCACAACCAAAATAATGGGAGTGATGGCACTTGCCTTATCCCACCAAGATAAGTTAGCCGAAAATCCAAATATTAACAGTAAATGCGGAAGTAAAACAAAATGAAAATCAAACATAATATAATAAATCAGGTAACAAAAACAACTTAGATAAAGCCCGTACAAGCCTCTAATGTATTATATTAGAATTGAAGAAACTATAAGTATTAATTTCTTTGTTTCTAGAATAGAACAAAATCATAAATAAAGAGCAAGATGAGTCCCCCGAAGTGACAAACATCTACCTCACCAACTCTCCACAACAAGCCTCGAGAGTAGAAGAGAAGATATAGTAATCATGAATATCTGGGCTACTAACCTATGCAAGTGTAGAAGAAAGAGAGTGAGTACCAAACAAAAAGGTACTCAACAAGTAAACCACTAAACACAAAGTAAGCAATATAACACACAAGTACTTCAATCTCATCCAACCGAACCTCCATAACTACGACATGTAATAAAATATCAGTCCAACCTAATAGTCCTCACTCAAATACAACAGAGCACGAATAAAACATCACAACTTGAACTTCAACGCATATAGTCAAGCATTCACATATTTCACAAGTTCACAATCACAATAATAGCTCAACAATCATAATCAATGAGAATCAAATGAAATGCAATGCAATGTGATGCAATGTCATATTGGGTGATTCATGTGTAACATCCCGCCTTAGAAAGCGCTATATCTAGAAAGCTCTAAATTGGAAATAGCTATATTGAGAATTTTGCAAGTTATGCTTAAGTTGTGAGTTTTGGGTCAAATTCAATCAACCATAACTTTTAGTACATGATGAGTTAGGTGGCCCATAAGATATCAAATGAAACTTCTTGGGATCCTCTTTCCAATGCCATCGAGTTTTCTAAGTTTCGAGTTCGGATGAGAAAGATATGCCCATTTGAAGTTAGGTGTCCAGTTAAGGAAAGTTACCCAAATTAATGAGGGGTATTTTGGTCTTTTCCTTACCCCATCATCTTAAAATATTTTTAGTAAATATTTTGAGGTCAAATCTGATTTTGGTTAGTTTTCATAATCCCAAATGCGCTTAGGGTTTTTAGAAGAGTTCAAGAAAAGGAGAAAAGGTTCAAGGTTCAAGGCGCTCATCAAGTTTTCTTGCGAATTGAGGATTGTTTCACCAAGGGTGTTATCCCTAAGAAGTATGTGAGTTCTCATAGTATTGGGTTCGTTCACCCACATTCCAATCATGCGATTATAAATGCAATTTCATTCTTGAGTTTGAAGGATTTGAGTTTTTGATGAGTTTTCTTGAAATTTCATTCTAAATCTTGATTGTTAGGGTTTTGATGAATTCATGAGATTAATGTTAATGATTTGAGGGTTGTTTTGAGTAGATTTCCATGTACTTATGTTGGGTATTTGAATCTAAGTGGGAAGAAACCATTCGATTCTAGGGGAATTGGTGCCTAAAAAATGAGAAAGAAAATTCGCCGAGAAGTTCTGGGCAAAGGCTGGTGCGCCGTGCCAGCAGTGCGACAAAAAATTTTCTCTGAAGTTTGAGGGCTGGCGCCCTGCGCTACTCAGTGCGCCAGGGTCACCTGCCCCATCCTGTTTTCAGTCGTTTCCTCCGTCTGAGTTCTTTAACGGATACCTTCACTCCTTTCTGAATCTAACTACTCTAAACTACATCTAAACATCGAAAGATCATCCATAACATGTATCGTAACCTTGAATTCATAATTCACATTCAAGGTAGAGTTAAGAGTTAAGTCTTGAGAGTTCTTCTGAGTCTATTTGAGAAGTCTTTGAAATTTTTTTATAACTTGTTTTAAGACTTGAGTACTTGAGTACGAGGATGAGTAAAGTTGAGTTTCATTTTCAAAATGAATATATGGGAACTAAGTATTACCAAGCGTAAATTTTTTTACATTTGAAAAGAGGAGGAAATCTTGATTTCCAAAGTTTTGAGTACTATCTCTTTTAAGAGAACTATTTTGAGTAATAATCTGAGAGTTGAGGATGAGTAAATATTTATAAACATATGAGCTAAGTTATATTTTGGGAGTAGTATTGAACACCGATATGGGGATGAGTTCAGATAACTCAAAGAACTCATAAACCATGTAGCCACCGTGGGTAGAAGGGTCATACTTTTAGATGTTCCTTATTGCCTTTTAAGCATAGCTTAGTGGATCCACTTAGTGAATAGTCATATACCTCGGCAAAGCATAGGAATGTTCTGGCAACGTGGGCGAGACGCTGTTTCATCACATAACTGATAGTAATTGTTGTCGGTTAAAGAATCTCTCAAATAAAGTTATTTTGTAGCTTTATATACAAACCGAATTATTATTATATTTTTAAAGACATTGAGTTGTTATCTACTGTTTTAAAAGATTTCTTTATTAATGCATTTTTACTACTTCTTTATATTGAACTGAGTTGAGTAAGTTTGAGTATCCTTGAGTTGAGTTGAGGTTGAGTTGAGGTAAGTATGTTTCATTCATCCAGTTCAAGCTTATGTTATGTTTTGGATTTCTCCTTTCATGCTCGTACATTCAATGTACTGACGCTATTTGGCCTGCATCATTTTATGATGCATAT